CGGGCGAACCGAACCTGACCTTCACCCGGGAGCGTGCCCGATGCCTACGATATGCTCGGGAGAGTGAAGAACTGGCGCCGATCGGCCGGTTCCCTCCTCTCATGGCGGCTAGATTAAGGGGTCGTAAGCTTCCATCTGAGCTCCGCGAGGACCTGGAGACGGAGGAGCGCGCCGCTGTTCTGTTTCTGCATGCAGTCCTGTCTCCCACAGCGAGTCTGGTCAGCTCAGGACTGCAACAGGGAGAGCAGAAGAATCTACTGACGTATCGGTTCCAGAGTATGCGAGATTCATTTCACTAATCCAGAAAGCAAATACGTGAAGGAAGATACACCCCCAGGACTTGCCCTAGTCCTGTGGCCCAAAAGAAGATGCGACAATGGGAAATAAAAAGAAAAGCAAGCACAAGGACGGCACTGTCAAGGGGCGGATGGTAATTTCTCTACTTCATGTCTGAGTGAGTCCTATTCCTAAGGAGGAGATAAACCTGCCATGGCATAAGCTCCTGAAACTCAGGAAACAGACGAGTTTCCTGAGAGAAGAAGAGCAGGCTGCTAAGAGACTAACCACTTTGGTTATGCAGACTGCAAAACCATAACTCGGTGTCTCTGAGCTGATAGCCACCACACCTCACAGCAGGGTGTTGCATGTTGTTGAGAACAGGTTAAAGCCATCAGGAAACTACGACCCTCGAGCTCGCACACCAGTGTCCTCCATGAGACTACCTTGCCTCTATAGAAGTACAAAGGACGTCAACTCTAGGCCGGCGGTTTTCAACCTTTTTTCACTAGTGGACCCCTAAAAATACTGGAATGGAGCTGCAGACATCTCTGAATGGTAAGTGTGGGTAGTCACATACTTTTGACTGAACGTAGTCATCTTTCGCAGACCCCTTACACATAGTCTGCAGACCCCCAGCATCCGCGGACCCTGGGTTGAAAACCACTGCTCAAGGCCAGAGGTTGCCAACCACTGGGCCGCGGCTAGGCAGAGATAAAATGAACTGCTCCAAACAGGAGACTTTACCTAAACACCTTCGGCTCCCCTGTGAAATACAAATTTTCATTTCTACCTCGGAGAACTTTTACAGTCTTGCTCTCTCCTATGCCCGATGAAGGGCGAGCGTGCCCGAAAGCTTGCGAAGAAATAAAAGAATTTGCTTGCAAATATCTGGTTGGTCTAATACAAAATATCGCCTCTTCCACGAGTTTTGATTCCTTTTGCCTCTAGACCAGCGGTTCCCAAGCTGCGGTACGGGTCCCGCCAGTGGTACGCTGACAACCTGTCAGTGGTGCGCGTGAACTGATTTATTACAATTACTTGATACGATGCAAATTGACTGGCGGGACTTAAGTTTGAACTGAAAAATTCGCTGGTGCGCAGAGCCGCCCGAGGGTCCGTTTCGATCCTCTCTGGCCCTTCCCGCCTCGCTCCAAACCCGCCGACGGCGCGACCGTGACCCCGGGGGACTTACTGTCCTGGA